GAAAATGAAATTAGCTTTCCTTAGCAAATCCACCGAATTATCGGACTAATGAAAAAAAGGCCGCCAATCAAGAATCAACGGCCCCACACAACAGAGTCCAATCAAAGTCCACCATCACCCCCCCCCTCCCCCTTTTACGCATCACTATAAATATACCCGATTCATCCACAGTGAAAACCCGAGAATCCTCTCCATTGTTTCCGGCCCCCCTTCGCCCTTCACAGGGCCTCCTCTTCGCTCACTATCCCCTTATCCCCCCTTATGAACCCCAGATCGCAGTAGCAGAATCGATTTACCTTTTGATTATTACTCTTAATTTCACTTTTCTCTATCTGTATATCAACCTGATCATGGCGCAATCTGAAACCCTAGATTTATCTTCACCTTCTTCGTCTTCGTCAGATCCACAGCTGTCACGGAGCTTGTCGTCCAGTCGGCTTAACGCGCAGGCTCCGGAGTTTGTGCCGACACGGCCGGCGGTTACTCAGTCGCAGCAACAGCAGGCGCCGCATAGGATTATTATACCTCCGCCTTCTCCGCCTGCTATGCTGCACGTTTATACGTCTCCGCCTCCGTTTCATGTTCCAGTTCATAGCCCTGTGCCTATGCCGGCTCACGTGGTTCCGGTTCATCATCATGTGCCTGTTCGGAATCATCAGAATCATCACCATCATCATCAGTATTATGGTGGTGGCGGTGGAGAGCAGGAGGGCGAGGGAGGGAAGAGAGATATTAAGGATCAGAAGGATCACAGTGCGTCTTCGAAGAATGGATTGTCAGAGGAAGCTGTGCAGAAGATTTTGAATCAGGTGAGAGCAAGTTTTACTGCTGCTTTGATCATTCCTAAGTTTCTATTGATACAGTTGCAGTTGACTTGTAGTTAATGGTTGACTTTGTATTTACTACTATGTTGACTCTGATTGACCGTTGAAATGGAGGGTGTAATTTGCACTTGCTGGTAAGGTTTGACTATGATACAAGATTCAATTATAAGAAAATGTAGAAATTTGGATTAGTAACAGAGTTAATGGCTCAATGTAATGAAATAGACAGACTCGGGTTCCATGTATGCTTAATGTTGCTGCAATGCAAAATGATGATCATTGGGGCAGTGTATTATACAACCTTGATGGATATGTTAGGGTTTCAGTTGTGGGTTACCATAGCCTTGATGATATACCTAGAATGGTCACTTCCTTCCTCAAATATATTGGCTCTTGTGGCAGGTTTGGTTGTGTGAGTTAGCGTATCTAGCTCTTTGTGAGAGGGATGCTTAAGTTATTGCTGTCTGCATGCATTCAGTGCCAACTATGGGATCAGTAATTACTAGATTCTGCAATCATTAATTTTAAGCATATAATTCATTTTTATGCCTGTCAACCTTTTCTGTAACCAATTACTGATATTCAATTTTAATAAAAATATTATTTTGCAGGTGGAGTACTATTTCAGTGATTTAAACCTTGCCACCACTGATCATCTTATGAGGTTCATCAACAAGGATCCTGAAGGATATGGTAAAATTCTTAATTTCTTACTCCCTCTGCTTCATTTAGTTGTCCCATTTTGAGCACAATTATACACAGTTATAGAGAAATTCTAGTGAATACATAAAAACACAATGATTAGAGTATTAAATTCCATATTTCTCCTTAATAAAGGTCCTTTCTCCTTCGTTATGGGGTAGAGTAATATGGTAGATTTGGAATGAGAGTGTTAAATGTCTTCTTGAAATAGAAAGTGGAACAAATAGATAAAAACATCCCTATTTGGAAAGTGGGACAACTAAATAAAAATGAAGGGAGTATCACTTTTTGTGCAAACTTCTACATATATTGGATATTGTAGTGAAACTTATGGCATGTTTGGGTTAAGGGAAATGAGCAGAAAGGAAAGGGAAGGAAATGATTTTCGTCAATTTAGAAAAAAATCTTCATTTAATTGGACGAAAATCCTTTCCTTTCCTTTCCCTTTGTTTCTCTCAAACTAAATACACTGTTATAGTTTGCCATTGGGGTGAAGAAGTTTCACTGTAAAACATAAATATTTGCAGAATCTGGGTAAACTGAAAAAGCCATGCACATTGGAGATAGAAGTTACCCTACATTTTTTACGTTTCATTCGCTTTGACTTCTTTCCCTTAATAGGTAATAGGTTGAGTGCTTGAATTATGAATGCAAATGCAACTGCTGTTACAAAGATTGTTTACTGTCATATTGAAAGTTGTGCAATTTTTTATGCTAATTATTTTACATTCTTTTTTATCTTTTCTTTGCTTGCAATATAGTACCCATGTCTATCGTTGCATCTTTTAAGAAGATTAAAGCCTACACAAGCAGTCATTCCCAACTTGCTACTGTTTTGCGGAACTCATCGAAGCTTGTAAGTTTCTTCATATACTCTTGGTTTTATGTGAATATTACCTTTAATGTGATTTAACAGCTTTGCTTGCCCCTTGTTTTAATTCTTCTTGGGTCCCATAATTTACAGGTTGTTAGCGAAGATGGTAAGAAAGTAAGGCGCCTGCATCCCCTAACCAAGTCAGATATGGAAGAGTTGCAAGTGAGGTTTTTCATTGTTTTGTTTCCTCTTTCTATTTGTTATGGATTCTAAGTTCCTTTCTAGTCTTACAATTTTAAGAAAGATGGCGTGTGAAACTTGTAGTGTTTTCTTTTCATAAATATTTTTGGTCCAAATATTTAACATGTAATTTATAGCTTTCTGATACTTTTTCTGATTCCCAGTCTCGTATAATTCTTGCTGAAAATTTGCCTGAGGATCATTGTCATCAGAACCTTATGAAGCTCTTCTCTGCTGTTGGGAGGTATTAAGTTTACCATTTAAGAAGTTTGCCTTCCTGGTATTAGTGTTTCCATAATCATGCAAGTCACCATGGATCTAATCTTGTTGAGTTTCCATTCAGTGTGAAAACAATCCGCACATGTCAGCCTCAACCTTCTGGCAGTGGGGCATCTTCAGCATCTAGATCAGGAAAAACTGATGGCATGCATTTTAGTAACAAGGTACTGCTGCACTTGCATCCAGGTTATTGTTTGGAGTGCTTTTAGTTTCCCATGGATATCCTAGTCAAATAAGTTTCTGAACCTTTAATTTGTATCACCAAAATCATGCAAATTCTATTAAAATGTTGACATTTCCAAATCAATCTATGCAGTGAATTGTCTCCCCTGAAACCTCTGGCAGAACTGTTTATCCTGTTATGTTATGTTGATAGTGAAAACATTACTTATCTTTTTTCTTGTTTTCTTTTTTTTTTTTTCCAATTAATGATTGTTAACCAGTTGGTTCAGTAATATACTACTCTAATTTTGGATTTCATTTTGTAGTTGCATGCATTTGTGGAATATGAATCTGTTGAACTTGCTGAGAAGGCAGTGAGTGCTCTTATTTTTCTTTGATATAATCCCTTTCTACCTTACATGCTTATAAGAAGAGGCAGATGAGTATCTCATTTTGCAGGTTGCAGAGCTAAATGATGAGAGAAATTGGAGGAGTGGCCTTAGGGTTCACTTAATGCTTAAACATTCTGTATGTACTGAAGACATATGAAACTCCCGCCAATTATTTCATTTCTTTTCTGTCCCCCTCCACTATTTTCACATTTGCAAAAGCTATCAAATCCACGAAATCGTTCTGGGATCAGAATCATTAACATAACCAGCTGTTTGTTTCTCAATCAATTTTTTTTTTATTTTTTATTTTTAAACTGATTACCATGTCTATAAGGGTGTCTGCATCATGTATGTGTCCAGCTACTGCATGCATGTTGTTGAAAATGGACAATAACTTTTATTAATTAATCAGTTAGTACCTGGGTTGGAAACAAGAAAAGGTTGGATATAAGTCTGCTATTTATATGCCTCATATAGTCCAGGTCTGCAAAAAAATGCTTCAGTTACATGCATGCTCGAATGTGTATATTGCACATGTACAATTGTTGGTATGGATACCATATTCTTTCTCTTCTAGTC